ACTGTGAAACCAGGCTGCTTGTCTCTAAACAAACAGAAAAACCTACTGCTGCTAAGTCTATTTGATCCTGCTCCTGCTGTAACTTTGGTGGGAGGAGATGTGTTTCCATGAGGATTTGAACAGCCAATCTTTTGGTCAGCAGCTTGGACTCCTCTGCGAGGGCCCCTACTAGCGGAGGTCAATCTGGAAGGTCAGCTCAGGTTGTGCTGTCTCCTCGGGTCCTTGAACTGTCCCAGTAGAGACCGGGTGGGGTCTAGCAGGGACCTGCGGGCACAGGACACTGGCTCCTTGAGGCCTGGACACTCATCTCCTGTCCTCCTGCCCCTCAGGCATGTCTGCTGTACTCAGAACGGAGTGCTGGACCCACTGTGGTGATGTTCTGGCCGCACGTCATGTAAATTCAGGAAGTGGGAGCAGTCCAGGGTCTGCAGGCCTGTGTGGTCAGCTCTGCCCAGGCAAGGCTCAGGGTCTGCTGCAGGGTTGGGGCAGTCGGGCCCTAGGTTCCCACTGGGCAAACTACCTGCTGTACACTGTTCAGTGGGGGCTGCAGGTCCTGCTGGGAGGACTCCCTGCTGGATGAACCAAGGAGCCAACGAGGGCAAGAGCAGCACTGCCTGGGATGGGGCACAGATGCCTCATCAGAAGGCCCTGGACATGGCGCTGTCTGGCGAGGTGCACTGGAGGATACACCCAGGTACCCAGCTCAGATCCAGGGCAAGGCTGGCCTCACAGGTGACTGGGTAGGGACAGTGGCAGCTCTGGTGGCTGAGACACCCACTGGTTGTCACACTGTCTCCCTCTGCAGGTTCAGGCTGAGACCTGTGTCCTCTTGGGGGAAGCATTGCCAGCACAGGTGAGCCCAGAGTCCACACGGGGGAAGTCTGAGTGGCCCCCTGGGTGACCCCAAGCACATGTCCAACCCAGGCCCTCGCTTGGCCCCTCCAGGGGTCTCGACTGTGTCAGTGGAGCTGCTGGGTCTTTGTATTCAAAGGAGAGTCTGTGAGGGCAGCAGTGGGAGCTTTGTTCTGTGCCGCTATGAGAACAGAGACTGAGAGCCATCTGGGGGCCATGGGTCCTGCAGACACAGTGCCCAGGCAGACAGGTCAGGGGACACGGAGCCTGGCCTCTACTGCTGGACTGAGCGGGGTCTGCCATGGGCTCAGCTGAAGGGACTTGGAGTGCTGGAGCAATGAGGGCACCCCCAGAGTGCAGGTCCAGGCGTGGAGTGGACAACGGTACAAGGACAGCAGGCCCGGCCTCCCCCACCCCCTCACAGGAACTAGAGGACCCATCCTCTCATACACCCCTCAGCCCCTGTGCCCTGTGTGCCTGGCAAGGACTCTGGTCACCCCTGGCTGGGCGTGTACTCGTCAGGCTGTCCGCACTCCTTGCCACGTCCTGTGCTGGTCAAGGAGGTCCAGGAGCACAGGGGCCCAGCAGTGACGGGGGCTGCGCAGACTGTCTGTCCTGTGCGTGCCCTCTCCTCACTGTGGACGGAGGGCTGTCCAAGGGGAGCAGAGCGTGACATCACAGGTCTGTCTGTTACACGGTGGTCCCTCTGCTGAGTCCTCGTTCTCACTGAGTACCTGTCGTCCCCGGGGCTTGAGGAGCTCCAGGCCTGCCCTCCCCCCCACCCCCC